TTTTTTTAAACAAACAAACCCAGAATAAAATCCTGGATTATGAGATTAGGTAAGCATTTGGTTATCTCATCATTTTCAAAGCCTTTATGCAAATGAGCAAATCAGAATTTAAAGGATGCAAGTGAACATTAAATAAATCAAGAAGCTGTTTATCTTTTCAAGTGTAGGTTTTTTGGGGGTAGGGAGAGTTGTATGGTGTTTGTAAACATGGACTCGTTTCCAGGAGCCATTTATTCTTTCTTAGCTAGTGATCTAACAGTTCACTTAGCAAGCAGAGAGGATCTCTAAGCACTCTCTCTGCTGAGCATGACCCAGGCCACCAGGCCCCAGAGGACCCGTTGGCCTCACCTGTCCTTGGGACTCCTCTGGGACCCTCTCCCATGTCCTATCAGCTCTAGTCACATGGGCCTGATGATTGCATCCCAAGCAGCTGCTGTTTCCTCTGCCTGTTCTGCCCCAACTCCAGGTCTTCACATGGCTGGCTCTTTCATGCAGCTCAGGTTCATCTCAAAGGTTACTTCCTCTGAGCAGCCTTCCTGGACTACTCCATTAAAAATACTCCCTCCCTGGACTACTGCCCCAGTCAGTCACTCTCTCTCTCGTGCTGAGTAACTTCTTTCCAATCTCACTGATGACTTTCTCAGATAATCTGACTCGTTCATCTTCTCCCAGCACCTTCCCACCAGCTCCCTCATCTTCACGGAAGCACCATCAGAACAGGGGCTTGATTTGTTTGACTCCCTCATGTTTCTGCAGCACGTGCCATGCTGTAAGCATTCAATACATGAACTTCTGCTGCCTGTCTTACTGCTTTCTTTGTGATTTTATGACATTGTTATATAACCTTTCTATAAATCGTAAGGTGGGATGTTATTAAATAATTCTTTCTTGTCATTGTGATCCTCATTAGAGGTTGTCCAGATAATTCCAGACTCCTAAGTAGTGACCAGTGTCCCTGCCCAGAGCTGAGCACCGGGACCATTGCAGACAGAAGGTGCTGTGTGCCAGGTGAGGAGATGTGGACACGTTTCCCGGCTCCTTGGTCTAAGGTCTTTCTGAGAGTATGTCATGAGGGAGACAGAGAAGGGCTGATTTATTTTGGAGAGGAAGAAGTAAGGAATCACTAAAGGTCCTCAACATTCCCAGGCCATGTCATTATTTCTAAACATGCCTAGATGACTCCTGACCAGCTAGAACAGCAAGAATGGCTCCACCCAAGAGTGCCTAGCCCAGGGGTCCCCAGCTCCTGGGCTGCACCCAGGAACCAGTCTGCGGCCTGTTAGGAATCCAGCCCCACAGCAGGAGGTGAGTAGTGGGCCAACATTACCACCTGAACTGGGCCTCTTCTCAGATCAGCAGAGGCATTAGATTCTCATAGGAGCAGGAACCCTACTGTGAACTGCGCATGTGAGGGATCTAGGTTGCACAGTCCTTTTGAGAATCTAATGGTTGATGATCTGAGGTGGAACAGTTTCATCCCAAAGCCATCACCCTTCAGCCCCCAGCTTCCCATGTCCATGAAAAACTGTCTTCCATGAAACTGGCCCTGGCTGGTCTAGCCTTATTCCCTCATAGACTGGTCAAGCATGGCTAATCTTTTCTGCAAAGGACCAATAATTAATATTCTTGGCTTTTAGGCTAGACTCTGCATTGTGGCACAAAAGCAATCATACACAATCTGTGAACTAAGGACAGGGCCAACTGTAATTTCCGTGAATCATGGATTAGAAGGAGGGTCTCCTACTACCTCAGATCCATGCCGGCCTCAGTGTGGCTCTCCTTCTGGAGGTCACAAAACCTCTTTAGTTTTAGAATCAAAGTGGCATGAGGCAGGGTAGGGAAAATTACATTTGGGAAGAAGGGACCTAAAGCTAGGTGGCAAGGACAAAATACAATTGAATAAAGATCCCAGTATCCTGAGTTATTTCGTGTTTGGTTCACCTAACAGTGACTGGCTAAAGTCAAAGGAATTCTAGTTCAACATGCCTGTGCTGGGCCTCAGCTGTACTGTTCATCTTCAGGGTGTTATTTTAGGTGTTTGATGACTGGAATGGCAGGGGAACTGGGCAGTTTATAAGGATGAGTGGCAGAAACAATTGGTAGCAACATGCCGTTGCACATGGGTGCAAATCAGCTCTATGTTGCAGCCAGCCAAGCAGTACACAGGTGCAGCCTGGCAGGCAGAAAAGCAGCCTTGAGGCAGCACTGGGGATCACAGATGTGCTATAATTTTGGCAGACTCTTGAAAAAGAGGCCTGCATGCAAAAACATCTCCTCTACATATCTTTCACTAACGTTGGAAATCCCATCCTTAGAAAGCCATTTCTTTACGTTAAGGATGCCATCCTTCTTTTAAAAACAAAAAGTGCTTGGAAGCATATATATATTGAATCATTTTGAGTTAAGTAGTCTTTGCAAAAAATTCTAATGTGAATCATTTCTATCAAACTCTTTCCAGCAGACATATGGGAGAGATCTTAAAAGAGGAAAATACACAAAGTTTAAGTACATAAACTTTGTACTTTGTACTTACTACTTAAACTTAGTTATGTAGTGTGTACATAAACTTTTACTTAGTTGGGAAATATGCTTTAGGGAGAGAAGGACCTCAAATCAGAAGTGGGTTGGCACCCAGGAAGAACTTACTCCACTTTAAATATTGAGCAGGGTTACCTTGAATATAAGAACCACTAAAAAACTGTAAACACAGGACATCTCTTTGTTGTGACTGCTAAAACTTAGCTCTAATTTCACAACCTGCCTCTAGCATTCGGATTATACCTCGGTTTTTATTTTTCTGCTTCAATTTTTCCTTCTACATAATTTCTGGGAAGTACTTGTTTCTTCCTTTTATATTGTATGGTTTTCACAAGCCACCTGGAATTCTTTATGAAGCAAAATACCTAGGTAGGTATATATTCATGTATTTATTCAGTCATGTAGCATGGTATACCTAATACGCATCAGATATCGATCTAGACAGACAGACGATAACATCGATCAGACTTCAATGGACTTACATAAAATGATTTTAAAAGAACAATTTAATTTTTTTCTTATTTTCTCACTAAGCCCTTTGAGGTTTTCTAGGGCAGAGGAGCAAGAAGGAATTGGGCAAAAATTCACAAACCTGTGCAAGGCGGTAGTTGTTCCTCAAGGTCCTGGGGGACGCTGCAACTAGGGAGGGGGCTGCGGTAGAAAACTTCAAAGCCATCATGAGGAGGACAGCAAGGCCAGATGCAGGGAGCACCTTCATCCCCTCACAGTAGCTTGGTAATTATATCAACCTGGGGGATGACAGAGCGCGCACGTTTGCACTTCGACCTCGAGCTCCTTTTATAGAGTCGAACAGGTCTGGACCCTCGGAGCAAGGATGATTCATGTCTCAAACAGTAATTATACAGCTCATTTCTCTCCTGATGATGGGGTAACACAACTGTACACAGGAATCAGGGAAAGCTTCATTTTTTTTTTTTTTTGTTATTTGCCAAGTGGCAAAAGGAGAAAAACAGTCACTTTTAATGAAGTTTGTCAGCTAGGTACAAAAATTGAAGTAAACTTGATTGATTAGAACCCAGCTCAACTGAAACATTTGATTAGTCTCAATTTGGAGGGCTTTTTCCATTCTGACTACAGAAAAGTTAGATGATTACAGTATAATTGAATTTGTTCTCCAAGTAATCCTGAACTCCCCATGCATTCAGCCCAATCGCCTGTATCTTCTGCATTCACTTCAAAATTTCTCAATAGCAACAACTGTTCACAATGACGGCTCTGAGACACATAAGACCCTGAATCATCAAGGCAAGATTACATTATACTGTGCTGACTCAGGGTGGAAAGTGAACTGGTAACTGTTAGAAAGCTTTCGGGTGAATTAAGAGTTACATCTTAGTTAACCAAAACAGTAGCCAGAACTCCTCAATCTCTGTGCACTCCGGTTAATTGGAATCATATTGTTTTTCCTGGCTCTGATTAAGATGGATTTTGATTCAGAGATGATATGATGAAATGATGAGAAAAGCACTTCGGAGTCAGACAAAGAAAGATTAAATTTTTGAAAAGATATTTCCTAGCAGTGTGACCTTAGGTGTGTCATTTGATCTCTGTGAACATCAGTTTTTTTTTTTTTTAATCTACATGATACTTCTACTATGTATAAACTCTTCAGTGTTACGGAGTAACACATAGAGCATGACATCTGCTAGCGCCACCTGGCATCCATGGGATGTGGATTCAAATCCTAATTTTGATTTTAGACTATATTCAATGTTATTCCTATAGTGAATATGGTGAATTCCTATAGTCTTTCTCGCTCTCTTGCATGTGATATACCTTCTTGGATGGAAGAGAAAGTGATGGAGTTACAGCCAGTGTGTGCTGTCTAGTGAATAACCCCAGGTACTCAACAAGAGTTTGTAACACATTGATATGGTTTGGCTCTGTGTCCCCAACCAAATAGCATCTTGAATTGGAATCCCCATGTATTGAGGGAGGGAGCTGACTGGATCATGGGGATGGTTCCCCCAGGCTATTCTCATGGTGATGAGTGAGTTCTCACAAGATACAATGGTTTTATAAGTATTTGAAAGTTCCTACTCTGCTCTTCTCTTTTCTGCTGTCTTGTGAAAAAGGTGCCTGCTTCCCTTTTGCCTTCCGTCGTAATTTGTAAGTTTCCCGAGGCCTCTTCAGCCATGGGGAACTGTGAGTCAACTATGCCTCTTTCCTATATAAATTACCCAGTCCCGGGTATTTCTTTATAGTGGTGTGAGAATGAACTAATACACACATGCAAACATAATTTCTGGCATATATTGTGAGATACACAAAACAAGTGTCTCAGAAGAAAAAAAAAGAAAGCCACAGATCTATTAGATTCATTTAACTAAATTGTAAGCTCTTTGAAGACCGTATTCTAAAAAATGTCACTTAATAAAGTTTGGTAAAAAATGAATAAATGAATGTTCAAACATATGCTGATCATCATTTTTTGGTTTCAGAAGAGGAATAGGATATTGCAATAATTTTTCAAAATTTGCGTTTGTATGGTCTCCTGTCTTCTGGAGCCCTATCTTCAACGGCTGCCAAAGTTGAAGAACAAAGAGAGTCCTTGAAGCTTCCCTTCAATTGATCATCTTCTTCCCTTTCTTTCTCCTTCAAACACTGTTCCAAGTCATTATGATGGCCCCAATGCAAAGACAGCCATGGAAGTGAACATTGGAGTGGAAGGAATGATGGTAAGAAATTCTGGGGCCAGTAGAGAGAAAATATTCTCATCTCCAGGACTCTAAAGAGTATTTAAGTTCCATTTTCAGAAGCACATGGAAGTAACTAACTGCGTGTAGGGTGTAATCTAGATACTTCTAGAAGGTTCCAGTATCTGCTTTTCTAACACATAAATGCAGTCAATCCCAGTGTTCCTAAGTGCAACATTTCAATTATCAAGTGCAAACATTTCGAAGAGGCATAGCAATTTATGTTCTCATAAGTCATTTACCTATTAGTGTGACTAAGCTTCACCTCAGAGTCAGTACCAGGTAACATCTTTGACCTTTCCAGGTAGAGAATTAGTCAATGTCTGGCAGTTTCTTACTATGATTTCCTATCTCTGATTTTTCTTTCTTCAAGGGGAGCAAAGGTCTGCTTTCTTTCTATCATTCTTGTATCAACTCTAAATTCAAATCGTTGAAATCTAAAAATATCGCATCAAAGCAAGTGAGTGACCAAGCAAATAAAATGAGAGACCCTATCAGAGAAATACACAAGGCAAAGCATCCTCGATTCAATAAGTTATGGGGAAAATAAGCCATTTCACCATAACATGTCCATGTGACATACTACATGTCTGTTATGTGCTCACTGTCTTTTACCAGTGGAATGTAAGTCCCATACTGGTAAGAACTCTAATTCTGTTTGCATAAAACAGTGCCTAGCACAAAATAAACAGTCGTTGAATAAATGAATGTATGAATGAGTGATTAACTGAATGATTAAAGACAGAAAGAAGAAAAACAAGATTGTCCTCAGAGAGAGAAATTTTAAATCAACCCATATAATGGATAAAATGAAGGTGCACAGCATCACCCTAAGAAACTGAAACCTTTATTAAACCCACATTATATGCCAGGCATGTAGCCAACTACCGTATGTACACTTTTCACACAACTTTATGACATGCAGTTTTTCACGTGAAGAAATGTGCTCATGAAAGATAAATGATTGTTAATTTCACATAGATATTAAGGTGGAGACTCCCAGATTTTCACCCAGCTCTGTTAGACGTTGAAGTCTGTGTTCTTAATAGTTACAGGAAGCGTATGTTGCTGCCTTTGTGGAGCAGTGCCTTGGAAACATGGTATCTTGAGTTGGCTGGCAGGGAGATCCCTAGGCTGATTCCAGTTGCCCAGCTGCTCCCTGGCATGCCCATGTGTCTGGCCTGAGCAGAAGTTGGGCCAGCCAGACTGCACAAGCTCCCTGGCTGGTGATGACGTTTCTCACTACAAATGATTCCTTTGTTCCTCTGGTTTCTGTATTTCAATCTTCAGAGGATTTAACTTTCATAAATGTTTAACTTTCTGGATTTCTAAAGAGTTCGGTTACAACCTGGTAGATTTTTCAGAGTAAGGGATGCTTCCCAGTGAGGCAGGATTCTGAGTGATCAGTTACCAGCTAAGTTTTATTCTATATCTAGCCTTCCCATGGCCCTTCTTTCAAATGACATATGTATATATATATGCCACTTTAAATGGCTGACTCTAAAAAAAGTTTATTTATATAACTCATAAATCATATCATATTCTATTTTATAATGGTATTTGTTAAGTTTAGAAATTTATGACTAGAATGCATAATAACATGAACCATATTCTGAATTTCTAGAGCACAGATATCCTGGAATCAGATGGAATAGAAATAGAGGAAAGAAAAAAGTGTATTTAAAACCAAAGACTACCCGCAGAATCTCATATGGAAAATAAGTGAATGATCTTACCTCATTTGTGAGAATGAGAAGCTCAGAGAGGACCTGGCAAGCTTATATCCAGAAGCTAACTGGTTTATTTTCACCAAGAACAAAAAAAGAAAGAAAAAAGGAAGGGAAGGGAAGAAAAGAAAAAAGAAAAAATATATACTTATACTATAGGTAATTTTGGTTAGAGTGGAGGAAGCAAACAGCCTTCTGATTCAGCAATTATTAGCATTAAAATGGGCTATTAAAGAAGGTTGTGAAATTGTCTTCAGCAGTCTTTGAGTATAGGACAGAGCATCATGCTTTTAGAAAAGATTGGGTTAAGTGAGGTTTTGCCTGTCTGGTCAGGCTTGGGGTATGTGCAAAGAACTTAGATTAGATTACTGTCCCAAATTTTATTCATATATATATGAATATACATATATATAATTTATAAATAATTATCGATAAAATTTATATATAGAATAAGCAAAATACTTTCATATTTTTAATAAATATTTATTAGGTATCAATTATTTGTTAGGCACCAGGAATACAGAGATATGAGACACAGTTTTAACACCCTGGGAGCCCAAAATTTACTGCTGCAATGAAATTGAACTTGCAGTAAAATCTTAGATCAAGATCGATGGAATCTTAGTGACAAAAAATGTGGTTTTACATTGCAAGTTGGTAGAATCCTTCTTAAAAAAATTATAAATGATTTAGCAATGTGTAAAATATTAAAAGGGCAATTTTAGCCAAAAAAGCAAATGAAAATTATACAACATTGGATTCAATATCTGCTAAAGGGAAGTATATATGTAAAAAAAAAAAAAAAAGGAAAAGGAAACCTGGGACAAGGAAAACAGTAGTATGAGGGTGGTAGGGCCTTACGCCTAACAGTTCTTACAAAATTTCCTTTAACACTGCCATGCATTTTTTAAAAACAGTAAGTGAAAGTGTGAAAGAAAGACTATATCAATGTACCTTTATATTTGTGTTTGAGAAAACAGAAGACATATATGATGAACTCAGTGGCCTATTTAACTCATTCATTTGTTTGGCTGTGATTCTTCTATTTACTCAGTCTAGAACTCTTGTATTTATTCTGTGCTTAGTGCTGGAGGTATAAAAGGCAAATAAAAACCCGTCCTTGCCCATCACAGTCTTAGACTCTCCAGAGAGAGGCTCAGATATAAACTCAAAATATCTTATAGTGTAATTATTGAAATAAGAAAGGTATTTAAAGGTCCAAATGAGAGCAGAAGAGGGAAAGCTCATCTCTGCCTGGGCAGCTGAGAATGAGAGTAAAATGGAGGAAAGGAGGGGCCGTGGTGGGCTTTCCATGGGGATGGGGCTTTAGTTGAGGGCTGATTGCCAATGGAGTTAGAGCTCACCTGCAAGAAGGGTGAAGTGAGAAGGAAGGAGAGTGACAGGTAGTGGGGAGGGGGAAATTCCTAGCAGAGGAAGTGATTAGATGAGGAGCTGTTAAGAGCATTTGTTCTTAGAAAACTGAAGAGATTTCTATGTACAAGGCAGGGTGGGGGCAGCCAACAGGAGGTGGGCAGAAAAGAAAAGCAGAGACGGGTCTGTTGGAGAAGGCTCTCACCCATAATTTCAGGTATTGACACAGAAAAGCAGAGGCCAGGAGTTGTTTGCTGGGTAAACCTTGGTCAAAGGGGAAAGCCAGAGAGCAATTTCCAGCCCAAGCTGCTGATCCAAAGGGCAGGACTGAAATGAGGCTCCTGGTGCAGAGCTGGAATACGGCTGGCAAAACAGAGAAGGCAGAAGATGGGCAGAATGGCATGGAACAAGTCCGGAGCAGCCACAGTGCAGCAGAGGCTTTGAGGGCTGCTGGGGTTTTATTTAAAGGGCCTGGAGAGGAGTGTGCTGGGCAACGTCACAGGCACCTTATGTGCCAGGCTAAGGCATCTAGACATTAATGGCCTGTGATGGGAAACCACTGGAGAGTTTCTTCCCCAGCAATGACATGATGAGGTTTGCAGTTACACAAAGATTGCTCTGAAGGGAGCATTCGGCATGAATTGGAGAGGAGTGAGGATGGAGGCTGCCGGGGGCGCCGAGGGGAGGGTTGTAGGAGGTCCAGTCAGAGGGCTTACCACTATGTTTATCTTAGGTCATGAACTGTGAGAGACAAGCTGTCAGGATAAATAGCATTTTGTTTATTCTTATTAAATCTCTGGCCTGTATTGCAATGATCACCAATGTGAGCTTTCGAGATTGGGTAGTAAATGTGTTTATAGCTGCCTCTGTGGAGGGAGGGAGGTCAAAAGTCTCATTAGAGCACATTCCACTTGCCCAATCATTTTAGTGAGTCAATTTGCTAAATTATAGACTTATTTCAGTATACAAATCAGCAATTCTGGAAGCTGGTAGTTTGCCTGGCAGCTTCTTTTGAACATGTCCATTTTTTCCTTTAGAATTTGTCTACAGGTAGGCTGGGCGTGATGGCTCACACCTGAAATCCCAGCATTTTGGAGGCCAAGGCGGGTAGATCACCTGAGTTAAGGAGTTCAAAACCAGCCTTACCAACATGGTGAAACCCCATCTCTTCTAAAAAATATAAAAATTAGCTGGGCATGGTGGTGGGCATGTGAAATCCCAGCTACTACTTGGGAAGCCAAAGCAGGAGAATCCCTTGAACCCAGGAGGCAGAAGTTGCAGTGAGCTGAGATTGCACTCCACTGAGATTGCTCTCCACTGAGATCGCTCTCCACTGAGATCGCACTCCACTGAGATCGCTCTCCACTGAGATCGCTCTCCACTGAGATCGCTCTCCACTGAGATCGCACTCCACTGAGATCGCACTCCACTGAGATCGCTCTCCACTGAGATCGCACTCCACTGAGATCGCTCTCCACTGAGATGGCACTCCACTGAGATTGCACTCCACTGAGATTGCTCTCCACTGAGATCGCACTCCACTGAGATCGCTCTCCACTGAGATTGCTCTCCACTGAGATTGCTCTCCACTGACATTGCACTCCACTGAGATCGCACTCCACTGAGATCGCACTCCACTGAGATTGCACTCCACTGACATTGCACTCCACTGAGATTGCTCTCCACTGAGATTGCTCTCCACTGAGATTGCACTCCACTGAGATCGCTCTCCACTGAGATCGCACTCCACTGAGATCGCTCTCCACTGAGATCGCACTCCACTGAGATCGCTCTCCACTGAGATGGCACTCCACTGAGATCGCTCTCCACTGAGATTGCTCTCCACTGAGATTGCTCTCCACTGAGATTGCTCTCCACTGAGATGGCACTCCACTGAGATTGCTCTCCACTGAGATTGCACTCCACTGAGATTGCTCTCCATTGAGATGGCACTCCAGAGATTGCACTCCACTGAGATTGCTCTCCACTGAGATGGCACTCCACTGAGATTGCTCTCCACTGAGATTGCACTCCACTGAGATTGCTCTCCACTGAGATGGCACTCCACTGAGATTGCACTCCACTGAGATTGCTCTCCACTGAGATTGCACTCCACTGAGATTGCTCTCCACTGAGATTGCTCTCCACTGAGATGTCACTCCACTGAGATGGCACTCCGCTGAGATTGCTCTCCATTGAGATGGCACTCCAGAGATTGCACTCCACTGAGATTGCTCTCCACTGAGATTGCGCTCCACTGAGATTGCTCTCCACTGAGATTGCATTCCACTGAGATTGCTCTCCACTGAGATTGCTCTCCACTGAGATTGCACTCCACTGAGATGGCACCCCAGAGATTGCACTCCACTGAGATTGCTCTCCACTGAGATTGCACTCCACTGAGATTGCACTCCACTGAGATTGCACTCCACTGAGATTGCTCTCCACTGAGATGGCACTCCAGAGATTGCACTCCACTGAGATCGCTCTCCACTGAGATCGCAGTCCACTGAGATCGCACTCCACTGAGATCGCTCTCCACTGAGATTGCTCTCCACTGAGATTGCACTCCACTGAGATTGCTCTCCACTGAGATTGCTCTCCACTGAGATTGCACTCCACTGAGATTGCTCTCCACTGAGATTGCTCTCCACTGAGATTGCACTCCACTGAGATTGCTCTCCACTGAGATTGCACTCCAGCTTAGGCCATAGACTGAGACTCCATTGCAAAAAAAAAAAAAAAAAAAAAGAAAAAAGAATTTGTCTATAGGTAAAATCAGTTTAACTATTGTGAAAGATCTACCATATGCCCAGTGCTATGGTCTGAATGTTTGTGTCCCCCATAAATTCATATGTTGAAATTCTCACCCCCAAGGTGCTAGCACTAGTAGGAGGGGCCTTTGGGAAGTGATTAGATTTTGAGGGTGCAGCCCTCACGATTGTAGTAAGTGTCCTTGTTAAAGAGGCTCCAGAGAGATGCCTTGCCCCTTCCAGCAAGCAAGGACAAAGCAGACAGGCACCATCTATGTATCAGGAAAAGCTCCCTTAATCTTGGGGGTCCCAGGCTCCAGAACTGTGAGAAATAAATCTTTGTTGTTTATGGGCCACCTGGTTTAAGGTATTTTGTTATAGCGGCCCAAATAAACCTGGAGCATATTGTGGGGCCAGGTAGTAAAATGATGAAGGAATGTTTAAAGGACACTAGCCAGCTTGTTGGAGCCTTCTCTGGCCTAATCTAAGACACTCTGAGCATCAAAATCCATAATGACAGTAATGGGTTGTGTGTGGTCCATTGAATGAAATAAAAACTCATGAATCTATACTGATATAAACAAGCGATAATGGGGAGAAGAGAAAGCTCTTCCTTATGGTAAAAAGCTAACTGATAAATAAATGTAGAAAGGATATGGCTTTAGAAAACATGCATTTGGTCAGTAGGGAAATGCAAATCAAAACCACAGTGAGATATCGTCTCACCCCAGTAAAAATGGCCGTTTTCAGAAAGACAAAAGTAACGGATACTTGTGAGGATGCAGAGAAAGGGATATGCTAATACACTGTTGGTGGGAATGTAATTTGGTATGGCCACTATGGAAAATAGTATGACTGTTTCTCAAAAAACTAAAAATAGATCTGACATGTGATCCAGCAATCCCACTGCTGGGTAAATATCCAAAAGAAAGAAAACTCATATGTTAAAGGGGTGTCTTCATGTCTATGTGTGTTGTGACTATTCACAATAGCCAACATACGGAATCAACCAAAGTGTCCATCTTTTTTTTTAAAGATGGGGTTTCACCATGTTGGTCAGGCTGATATCTAACTCTTGACCTCAGGTGATCCGCCCACCTCAGGCTCCCAAAGTGCTGGGATTACAGGTGTGAGCCACCGCACCCAGCTTCAAAGTGTCCATCAATGGATGAATGGATAAAGAAATGTGGCATGTATACACAATGGAATACTATTCGGGTGTAAAAATGAATGAAATCTTGTTATTTGTAGCAATATGGTTGGAACTGGACCAGGTCATTATGTTAAGTGAAATGAACCAGGCACAGAAAGACAAATATTACCTGTTCTCACTCTATAAGCAGGAACTAAAAAAACCCTGATCTCACAGAGGCAGAGAGTAGAACGATTATTACCTGAGGTTAGGAAGTGTTGGGGCAGAGGCGATGAAGAGATGTTGATTAATGTACAAAAATAGAGTTCGATAGAAGGAATAAATTCTAGTGCTCAATAACACAGTATGATGACTACAGTTAACAGTGATTTATTGTACATTTCAAAATAGTTAGAATAGAAGATTTCAAATATTCCCAGCACAAAGAAATGATGAAATTTTGAGAGATGGATATGTTAATTACCCTGACGATCATTACCTATTTTATGCATATATCAGCATATCACATGTACCCCACAAATATGTACGATCATTATGTATCAATAAAATAATACATTTAGAAACCATCTTAGTAATAATTGATTCGTGCCAAAACATCAGGGATGCTTAAAATGGTGGGTAAAAGAGGGGTGAAGAAAGGAGTTTTATATGGTTACAAAGTATCACCTTACAAAATATATATTAATTCCCGAGGAAATAAGTTACCATCAATTGTAATGGTCAGTAGACATCGTGTACCACTACTATGTTAAAAAGAAAAGAACAAAGTTTCTGTGATACTCTGGGCAAAAATAAATGACTGGAGCCTAATCATGAGAATACACTAGGTAAATAAAAACTGAGGAACATTTCATGAAGTAACCGGCCTACGATTTAAAAAAATATCGAGATCATGAAAGTCGAGGAAAGATGGAGGAGCTGTTTCAAATTGAAGAAGACTGGAGAGACATAGTAACTGGGTACCAGATGGGGTCCTTTGTTGTGGAAATGTCCTGACACAATTGGCAAAACTTGAATGGGGTTTCTGGGTGAGAGTTCTTTGTGCTATTTTTGCAACTTTTCTCTTAAGTTTGAAGCTGCTTCAAAATTAAACAATTTAAACAAACCCATTAAAACAGTGATCATCTAAATAATTTAGGCTGATTTACTATGTTGGAAAAATAGGACTCAGACCACCTACTTCGCGATTAGGCTAGGTAGGTAGTGTGAAAGTCATTTGTAAATTTAAATTATGTCATCCAAAGAGAAGAATAAACACTCTAGTAAAGTAGGAACTATTATGAAACCACACAAACCAGAAAACATTTTTAAAGAAAATAGTATTAAGAGCCCATGGATGGTTATACAAATTAACTCTAGCTTTATTTAATTTCGTAAGAGAAAAACTAGAATAAAAAACAAGCTTAAATAAGTTAAAATTTTGTGATTCATTATGTACCTGTAATAAATCTTATTTTATAAATAAAAGATAAGATCTTTATTTATAGAAGACAATCTCCTTTAAATAAGCATTAAAGAAATATGCAAAGAATATAAATTCAAAAGGGAGTAAGCTTTCAAGCTTAATATTAGTTTAGTTCTCATAAGTCTCTGATATTGGAAGAAAAATTATATGGTCTCTCAAACACCTAGAACAAAATTACAATGGCCAGATATGCAGTATCATTTCAAATGTACATGAAACAAGTCATCCTAAAATGGAAAAATGAAATAATAAATTTTTTTCTTCTCTGAATTCATAAATTTCTCAAAAATTGTATTGTTAGATAATAAAAGCAAGAAAATAACAAGTATATTTTTATAGAGATCTACCATTACTATGCTCAATGTGTCCTCATTTCAACATTTTGGCTGTATTGCACCCGTGTCCCCGTGCTCCACCTTAGTCTCCTCAATCTATTTCCTTTCTGTGTTCCGTCCTTTAAATGTTGATTCTCTCCGGGGCCCATCTCTACTCATCTTGTTTGAGTATTCTCTTCTATATATCCTCATCTTCTAGGTGTGTTTATCTTTTCATATAAACTCATCAATTGCTATAGTTCCCAGCTACTCAGGAGGCTGAGGCAGGAGAATTGCCTGAACCCAGGAGGCGGAGGTTGCGGTGAGCCGAGATCGCGCCATTGCACTCCAGCCTGGGTAACAAGAGTGAAACTCTGTCTCAAAACAAACAAACAAACAAAACAAAAACAAGATCACATATATGCTCTGGAGGACATTATGCTAAGTGAAATAAGGCAGTCACAGAACAAAAACTGCATGATTCCACTTAATAATACATGAAATACTTAAAATAGTTAAACTTGACTAGGCGTGGTGGCTCACGCCTGTAATCCCAGCACTTTGGGAGGTTGAGGCGGTGGATCACTTGAGATAAGGAGTTTGAGACCAGCCTGGTCAACATGGTGAAACCCTGTCTCTACTAAAAAAAAAAAAAAAAAAAAAAAAGGCTGGGTGTGGTGGTGAATATCTGTAGTTTCAGCTACTTGGGAGGCTGAGGCAGGAGAATTGCTTGAACCTGGGAGGCTGACGTTGCAGTGAGCCAAGAGCATGCCACTGCACTCCAGCCTGGGTGACAGAGCAAGATTCTATTTCAAAAGCATAAAAAATAAAAATAAATAGTTAAACTCCAAAACAGAGCAGAATGATGGTTGTCAGGGGTTGGATTGGGGTGGAGAATAGAGAGTTGCCATTTAATGAGACTATAAAGATCACATATGTGCTGATGAAGCCTTAATTTTTATCTTCAGCTCAAGATGTTTGTTTTAAGATATATTCAAGGGGTTCCTGCACTCCCCACGTGAATCTCTCCCCATAGGAACTATGAAGTGGCCACCTACTATACTGTCTGCTTAGAGTAGCCACACTGTTCTAATGGGAAGCTATCCTTTCGAACATGTAATTTGAATGAAACTTCTTATTGGCTCTGTCTCTCTGGAAGAGAGGGAAATGCTCCGGGTAAGAAAGGCCCCTGACCTGTGCCGGGCCAATCACAGTTCCTCATTTTCCTGGCCACCATCTGTCGGTCTAAGAATGGGCCAATACCCAACTGGATTAATTAGACTGGTTTCCCAGTTTTACTGAATTTGGAATTAGAGATTGGGCTCTTTCTGGGGATAGAGATGTAAGGTTCTTGAATCATTTGCGGTCATGTTCCCTGCTCAGTGGAAATGCCAGGTGGCAGTAGAAGGGAACGAAGCAGAGATGAGAGAAAGAAAGAGACTGGAAGTGTTTCATCTTTATTGAGGCTCAGTATGCATTTTCTTTTTCTGTAGTTATGTGAGCCTCCCAGTAAATTTCCCCTTGACCTGAACTAATTCTAGTGGGATTTCTGTCACTTGCATTTCACCTTCAAATTGAGGTGAGTCCAGAATAAAGCTTGCCATCTTTCGCGGCATGCCTTTTCTGCCTGATCCCCTACCACCTTTCCCGTTTATTTCTCCTCTTACACTCTCCAGTTGAGCAATGCCACTAGCTTTAGCTGATGTGTGCTGGTAGAACTGTCATAGTTGCTCATGGGCTTTTGGTGTGTCAGTACCAATGCCACGCTGGTTGAAAAATACTTTGAATATTACCCCTGCCAACACCTATCCAGAAAGCAGAAATTTGTTCTTGATTCCAACTTCCCTCTACCTCTATGCATTTTCCCTCAGCTTTTGAAATATGAAATGCTTTACTTATTTGACGTTTACTACTTTTATTTTTAAACTTTGCATTTTGAAATGCTTTCAGGCTTACAAGAAAGTTACAAAAATAATGCAAAGAATTCGCCTATACCCTTCACCTAGGTTCTTCAAATGTTAAGAGGTTACAAAATCTCACTCTCATTGTCAAAATCAGGAAACTGACTTTGACACAAAACCATTGTTTAAACCAATAGTTCTCAAGGTGTGGTCTAGGAACCCATGGGGGTTATCAGAAATCTTTCAGGGAAACTATCAGGTAAAAATTTTGCTCATAGTAATGCTACACATTATTTTCCTTCTTCATTTAAAAATAATGATATACTACTTGTTAATGTAACGTATATTACATTAATTTATGTTAAATATAATATATATAATTTATATTATTATATTAATATTTATATATTACATTAATATATAAATGTTAATGCATGAACATATTAATTAATAATATTAATGACAATGTTATTAAATATTGTCAATTTTAATTTATAATATGCTTAATGTGATAACTATAGCCAGCCATAAACAAGAGCTTTTGGGGTTCTTAATATATTTTAGAAAGCTAAAGGGATCATAGGACCAAGATGTTGAGAACTGCTGATCTAACTTATGGGCCCAGTTGTCTTTCTAATTTTTTTTCCTTATCTGGGATCCAATCCAGGATTTTACATTGCATTTAGTCATCATGCTTCTTTATTTTCCTTTAGTTTGAAACATTTCATCTTTCTTTATCATTTTTTATTTATCTATCATGGCCCTGATACTTTGAAAAAGTATTGGCCTGGCCAGGCATGGTGGCTCATGCCTGTAATCCCAGCACTTTGGGAAGCTGAGGTGGGTGGATCACCTGAGATCAGGAGTTCAAGACCAGCCTGGGCAACATGGTGAAACCCCGTCTCTACTAAAAATACAAAAATTAGCTGGGTGTGGTGACCTGTAATCCCAGCTACTTGGGAGGTTGAGGCAGGAGAATTGCTTGAACCCAGGAGGCGGAGGTGGAGGTTGCAGTGAGCCAAGATCGCACCACTTGCACTCCAGCCTGGGTGACAGAGCAAGACTCCACCTCAGAAAAAAAAAAAAAAAAAAAAAAGGAGCGAGAGAAAAGTATTGGCCATTTATTTTAAAGGAAGGCCCTCGATTTGGAATTTTTTTTATTCCTCATCATGGTTAAATTCAGGCCATACATTTTTGATAAGAATACCACAGAACCCGTGCTGTGTCCCCTCAGTACATCACGTCAGGAGACAAATGGTGTCAATTCGTTTCTTTGCTGGTGATGTTAACTGATCACTTGATCCCTGTGATGTCTGTCAGAGTTTTTCACCTGTTGCTTTCCCTTTGTGAGAAGACATTATGAGACTTACAGAGCTATTGTGCATGTCATTCATGGTACTCCTGTACACTGATTTTGGCATCTGCTGTTGATTCTTGCCAGAAACAATTTTTGCAGTGGTGATTTTCTGTTTACTTTGGTCCTTCTGCATTGTTTTGTTGGAATCCAGTGGTAAGGAAGTGCTTTTTCTTCTCCCTCACCTGTTACTTATTCATTCCATTCTAACAGTTACAGAATCAAAGATTCTTACTTTATTCTGTAGATTATAATCCATTGGTATGATTATTTTGTTTGTGAAGTATAAAACAATACCACTCTTCACAACCAATTTTTTTGGAAAATATAGGTGTTTTTTTTTTTTACAAAAATATGTTACATTAACAAATAATATTATTTTAAAATAAAGTATGAAATATTAGTTGTCAATTTTAATGTGTGATATGCTTAATGTGATAACTATAGCCATCCAAACTTGGCCGATGAATTGTCCAAACTTGGCTGATGGAGGCCCCTGTTTCCACTTAACATGCCTCTACATTTTGTCAGG